TTGTTACATGTTAAAAAAGGAGAGGTGTTTAAAAGGTGTTAAAAGCTAGAAAAAGGAGAGGTGTTTAACATGTGTTAGAAGTCACACACACATACACACATACATACACAAACACACACATACACACACACACACACACACACACACACACACACACACACACACACACAGATGTTTACATAGTTTTAGAAGTTGGAAAAAGGAGAAATGTTTAAAAGATTTTAGAAATTAGAAAAAGGAGTGGTGTCGAAGTATTTCAGTATCTGACAGCTTCACTGGAGATACCAAAGTGACGAAATAATCACGATGCAAAATCATAAACGCTTTACTTTCAAAGTGGCAATATACATAGCTGTCGTGACTAATGGGGAAAGCCATTTTTTTATGTTAGAGTAAAGAACAGGCGCCAAAGCAAAAGCGGCATTCCTATAAATGCTCACTCCTGAATCTGAGCAACCAGTGAAAAATTCCAATACCACTGGCTTAAGAAAATGGCGACTGGCCTGTTGTCAGAGAATTTGTGGTGCTTTATGCTATTAATTGCGTGTGCAACTTCTGTTCTGTTGTAGCTGCTGCTTCTGCCGACAGTAAACTGCATATCTAGTGCCGGACTGTTGTGCTTATGCTGTGGGGTTTGCGTATGCAAGGGATAGTTATGGATATTGAAAAGGGGGTTTTCGTTGGCACAAGAACGGAGCAGCTATGGAGTCACCCGACTGCTATAAAGCGAGAATTGCAATTGTCTGAATATTGGTGCGAATCTGATTATGTGTTCCTCTTGCCTTTAATGAATTACCACAGTCTGGTGAGACTGATGAAGTGGGGAGAAAAGAGAGGTTCTGGCAGATGCTCGAGGCTCAGAGGAAAGGCAAAACGGACGTTTAAACAGAATGCTACTGGCACCATTAGTATCGGAACTCTTCACTGTCTGCTGAAGATGGGGACAGTAGGCCTATGGAAGTGCCCCGAGTGCTGTGATGTCGGTTCTAGAATCAACTCAACTCAGCTCAACTCTTGCCTTCGAGTGTCTATCAGATACTCAAGTTACCCCTCCTTTACATCAATCGTTTTAGATTGCGGTGAGGTATTCCCTCTTTCAAGTTTAAAAAGTGTTTTTGATGAAGGGATTCACTTCTTTGCAATGGATGTTTAATTCTATACGTTTCAGTCTTTCTTTGCAGAGTGTTTGGTCGCCTTTTGAGAACGCCGCACAAAGCAAGAATCTCGGTAGCGTAGCGTAAGTGATGACCCCTGGGGACCTCTGAAATAGCTAAACGATTTGTAGCGTTACTACATTCAAGGGAAGCAGACAGACAGACAGACAGACAGATAGATATAAGTGAAGACTGGCGATTGGACGCGCGGGTAAGCGGTCAGGTAGACGGACAGACAGATAGGCAAGCAGACACACTGCCTGATACGCAGATGATCAAGAGAGGTAGAGAGAGAGAGAGAGAGAGAGAGAGAGAGAGAGAGAGAGAGAGAGAGGAGAGGCGAGACAGCGAGAGAGAGAGAGAGAGAGAGAGAGAGAGAGAGAGAGAGAGAATAATATAGGAAGAAAAGAAATAAAAGGAAATACATTAGAATGTAAAATTATAACATATTCGCTTACTTTGTGTATGGTTGTTAATCTTGACAATTTCAGGTGCCGGCACGCCATTTCTTTTCTCTGGCTTCAGTGCGTACTTGACAACAGCATATTCGCCATAAGAGAAAACTTTCTCCAGACCGTGAGGATGACTGATCACAAAGACCCTTTTCGTGAGGTTCTCTTTTATCCTCGTTGGAAGCCTCGCTACGAGCTCTCGGACTTGCTTCTCTGTGTTCTTGACAAACTCTACCATAGATAAATCAGAAATGGTGCATTTCAGTACCGATGTAGCATCACCTATGGCTGGACTGTGAGTGACTGACACCCCTTTCGCCTTTACAATTTCATTTCCGTTTGGGTTATCATAGAAGAATTCAACCAGGGTGTTCTCTGCTTCAAAGTCATCAAAAATAACATGGCAACTGGTTCTAATGTGTATGATCCCCTTGTTTTTCTTCAACCCAGGGATGTAGCGCCTAATGGTGCTCCACCTTCGCGTAGGCTCCGTAGGAGCTGGATCATCACTATCATCTTCGGCAAAAGCCAGGCCGGTTCCGCACTGGGCGTGTGTTTCAATAGACTCGCCAAATTGAGGTCTGTTACTGCTGCGTTTTCTAATTGTTAGTTTCACTACGAGTTTTCCTATCAGTTGAAAAAATTCCAGCACTTCAGGGCATCTGACGTTGGACGGGATGTGGTTCAGTTGTAGCTGCGCCATTGGAAAGTTACCAAAGTGCCCAGGGTTCTTCTGGCATCTTTCTCTGAGATCGTGGTGTCCTAGAGGAAGGATCTCTTCCTCGGCATCAAAGGCGCTGGGGTCGACTGAAACAAGGACACACAGAAATGTACGCAAGTAGTTTCAAGTTGAATACAAAAACAAGGCTTCAGTGGTTGTATGTACTAAATATAGTTTGTGTTTGGTCTTTACTTGGTTGGTTGTGCTAACATTAGGTTAGGGTTGTTGGTGGTGGTGTTGATGTTGCTGGAGTTTCTGCTGTTGGTGTGGTTGGTGTTGATATTATCGATGCTGGAGTTCCTGTTGTTGACGTTGTGGGTGATACTGCTGATCGTGGAGCTTCTGCTCTTGATGTTGGTGATATTGCTGTTTAGGATGTTTCTGTTGTTGATGTGGTTGGTGGTGTTATATTTTTAATGGTGGAGTTTATGTTGTTGATATGGTTTATGATGATATTGCTAATGATGGAGTTTATGTTGTTGATATGGTTCATGATGATATTGCTAATGGTGGAGTTTATGTTGTTGATATGGTTCATGATGATATTGCTAATGGTGGAGTTTATGTTGTTGATATGGTTCATGATGATATTGCTAATGGTGGAGTTTGTGTTTTTCATGTGGGTAGTTGTGATTCTGCTGATGGAGGAGTTTGTGTTGTTGACATGTTGATAATGCCGATGGTGGAGTTTATGTTGAAGTTGATGGTGATACTGCCGATAGTTACATTTCTGTTTTTGATGTTGGTGTGGTCGCTGGTGTGATTCGTGGTGTAGCTCTCGTTATTGATGCTATTATTGTTGGTGCTCTTGTTGATGTTTATCATGGACTTTTTTTTTAATGCTGTTGGTGGTGGTATTGCTGATGTTGCTGCTATCGCTGACGGTCTTGATGTTCATTGTACAAAACTTCTCTTACGTCTAATGGGTCTCTCGTGTCCGGTTGTGACGATGTTAACTCCCAGTCCTTACACTGTTTACTATAAAGTTATTGCAAGGAAGGCCAAACCACGAGCAAACCAGCTGTACTGTGTACGCTCTTCTTCTTCTTCTTCTTTTTCTTCTTCTTCTTCTTCTTCTTCTTCTTCTTCTTCTTCTTCTTCTTCTTCTTCTTCTTCTTCTTCTTCTTCTTCTTCTTCTTCTTCTTTTTCTTATTCTTCTTCTTCATCTTTTTCTTCTTCTTCTTCTTCTTCTCCTTCTTCTTCTTCTTCTTCTTCTTATCCTCCTCCTCCTACTTCTTCTTCTTATCCTCCTCCTTCTTCTTCTTCTCCCCTTAATCCCGTAATAGAGTATAGGCCCTTAGTCAACTCACGCTAAGTCGTCCCACCCTTTACTATCACATCCCATTCATCCTCATTTCTTTAACTTCACTCCCCATTTACCTTTTCCATATATTTGTGCTTGCCTTTATTCCTTCGACCCTGTGAGTTCTAGGGCAAAAAACAATCAAAATATCGTCAATGACATATAAATACTTACATAGCAGCCTCGTGAATGCAGAAGCCATATCAGGGTCTGTCAGCTGATCAGAGACTCCAGGATTAGCCGAAGCTGTGGTAGAAAATAGTCATACTAACTTAGCCCAGTGTTCTTTAACCAGTGGGTCGTGACCCACTGGGGGCGTCCAAGTGGGTCAGAACAAAATCTAACTGTAGACGTCGAAACAGAAAGCTTTAGATTTAGTTTATGACCTCTTTATCTTCTTAGCGATTGGTTTTATATAATTAGGTCAGACCGTCAGATGGGCTAGCTCTGTGAGCTCGCATGTCCCTTGCAGGTCCTTCATAGTTAACCACTGCTGGCTTAGCAGTTTGCTCCATATTACACCTCATTCCCTTGTAGGTCCTTCATGGTTAACCACTGCTTGCTCAGCAGTTTGCTCCATATTACACCTCATTCCCTTGTAGGGTGCAATTTTTAGTTATCTTTAAGCCCCATCCTGGCTTTTGCCTGGGGGCCCTAAATATAGCCGGGCCTGAAATTTGCAGTAACGGCTGAACGGGGTTTCTATGACCTCTCCACTGGTGATCCTCATTTGCATGGTGGCACTTTGTGTCACCGGGAGTTTATCGCTTGTATGATGTCCTAGTTGGGTACAACTTACATACATACACCCATACCTTGCTCTGGGTGGTGGCAGGGGGGGGGGGGTGGTGGCAAGTTTCTCTTCGCATGTGTAGGTATAGTAGGCAGGCCTGGAGAATGTGCTCAGGCGTTGGTGTTCCTGTCTAACCCGCTCACTGTGGAGACTGTACAATCTTTATTGTATGCTTGTGGCAGTTGAGCCTGCGGATGACTAGTGCAAGATTATTTTAGATTATTACAGCACCAAGTTCAGACACAGCAGATCAAATGGTTTGGTCATCAGTTTCAGCTGCGGGCGATTTGACAGCAGGCCGCCTTATGTGATTTAGACAATGGTATAAAAAGCGAGCCGTTCAGGAGCTTTAAGAACACTCAGGTCTGTAATGAATATATTATGTTCATTGCCTGTGCTATGGGGTTTGTGCAGCGTGTTGGGAATTTTCTTTTCTTCTTCTTCTTCGCGTTCACCAGCTGTACACTCTGGCGGAAAGTTCTGGTTGCTCGTCCACTACTGAACTGCAGTCTTGCTCCAGAACTTGAGTGTTGCGTGTGCATCAGTTTTACAGATCTCTTTCTCTTGAAAACAGACTGTTGGTTCCTTGCCTCTCCAGCAGATGCACGCCGACTTCAAAGGAAGCCTCCCCAATTAGTCGACTCTTACGACATGCTTTTGGGGAGGCAGTGGGTCTTTTCTTGTTTTCCCCACAATGGGGCCCTGAAACTCACACGGGGGTGAATTTTCTTATATAAACTATAGTAAAAGCCAGTATATTATACTGGGGGTAAAATAGTGAATTGTGCTGATTGGGATTGCCCTCATACAACATAAGGCAATTCAATCAGCACAAAGAGACATATCATACAAATCATATTCATTCCCACTCTATGATTTCAGTGCCAGACGTCGTCACTCACAACAAAACATAAAAGAAAATTAGTAATCATGGAAATGAGGTGTCTGAGAAAGGCAGTAGGAGTGACCAGAAGGTTTAAATTCGGGAATGAGGTCATACGAGATAAAGTCGGCACAGAACCAATTCTAAAATTACACACAAAGATTGGATTGGATTGGCTTTTTACCCCACCAGGACATCACACAAGCGATAAACACCCGATGACACAAAGTGCCACCATGCGGATGAGGATCACCGTGGAGAGGTCCCAGAAACCGCGTTCAGACATTTGGCCATAATGATGACCTGCCTATATTGCGGCCCCTGGCAAAAGCCAGTGGGGCTTCAAATAACAAAAAATAACGTCCTAAGAAGGACGTAAGGAATAGAGTTATTTCGAAGTCAAACACACAAAGACAGCAAATCAAATGGTTTGCCACCTGGAGAGAATGCCTTCTAATGTTATACCATACAAGGCATTTGCCAAAAGAGGTAGAACAAGAACAACACGGAAAGATAATATCAGAGAAACTCTACAGTCTATAGTCGAGGCAGCCAAAAGAGCAGAAAGCAGGACGTTACATTTTCGTCGACACTAGAAGCGCTAAAAGAGGACGTAAACAGGAAGAAATCAGTATATAGAAAGTTACAGACTGCTAAGAGGAATAACTAGGGAATGAAATATAATTCAAGCAAACAGTACATCTTTTACTGACTTACCTCCCCTGGTTTCTGATAAGGCATTTCCCTGCTCTCTGTGATCTACAGGAATGTGCTCATGTCCCATTGTCCCTGTCTCATTTGTCTGCTGTTGCGGATCTGCAGAAACTTGACCTATCTGCTCATGACTCCTTGTTATTGACTCATTTGTCTGATGTTGTGGAACTGCAGGAATTTGACCTATCTGCTCACATTCCCATGAGGCAGTCGAAATTCTGGTCATATTTCCTGCAGCTACAGTTTGTTGTGAGTTCTGTTCTGGAGGCTCTGCAAAATCGTTCTCATTTCCAGCGACATTGGCAAATGAAAGATTCGGTTTCGCTGTTGCTTCTAGACAATTATGTGGTGCTTCGGTAGCTTTACATTCTCCAACTGGCTGACTGTTCAACTGGTTATTCGCCATAGTGGTGGAGGGCAGAGTTCCCAATGGAGTCGCCCTAGTGGCATTAACTTTTGAGGATGCTTGCTCAGTTCGGGTATATGAAGCATTTGCTGTTGCTCGTTCACCAACTTCTGTTAGCGTTAAGCTAGAGGGCATTTCCTCTGTGTCATTGTTACTAGCTGTGACAAAAAAGCATCCTTCTCTGTGATATTTGGCTTCAGTGGCTGGTGAGTTAAACGCCCCAATCTCCACGTAACTTCTGCACCCTTGGCATTGCACAGCTGACCCCTCGCCAGGGTACTGGAAGCCAGCTTCTGCAAGAGTCACTGCCGATGGGATATTGGGCGTGAGATCAAAAGCAAATGGCCTGTATGAAGCCACCCGTTCCAGTACCGAGTATGTTGTATATTCAATAAAATGTCTATCCCACCTCAGTGGATCAACCATCCATGGTTTTTTGGCTCTATCCTTGGATTGACAATTTGCAACACTGTGTGACATTTTGTCAAAATATGTACAGGCAGAATATAAATCTTCAAGCCCTTTGTCAACAGTGTTGTTCCACTTTTCTGATCCGAGTGAGCGTTTTCTTGTAGTGGATTTCACTTGATGTATCATTGCTGGCAAAGCTGATGAATGCAGTAGGATGATAACGAGGACCATCAAAAACATCCTACTGCCAAAGTTGTTCTCTAATGGTTTATATGTCCAGTCTGGTTGTGTGTCTTGTTGTCTTCTGCTCACTTGATGGACAAGAACTTTATCAAGCTGCTCCTCATCCAACTTGATAATGTCACCTAGTCCATCAAGGAACACGTATTTCAATACCCTACTCACGTGGAAGTTCAGATCCCAATCATGGCGTCCTGGATTCAGTTCTGACGGGCTGTTTATCCAGTGCTTCATAGGAGATTTTGAAATGTGTTCTTGTACCCACATCGGCTTCGCCAGACATGTTCCTGATTTGTCCCTGGTGTAATCTTCTGCTGGATCTTGATGAGACTGTAACATCTTGCTGAAAAGACAGCCTCCCAGAACGATTGCCACCACCATGATAATCAGGAACCTGAGCTTGATTTCTCGACGAAAGCCCATTTCTGAAGCTCAGATTCGCATATGGGACGAGCTATTTATGTGTAAATTACATTAAGTAGAAGAACAACGTCCAGGTTCCAGGACCGATGCTTGCAACTCTGAAAAAAAAAATGACAAAGAAAATGTATATTTTGTCTGAAGCTGATAAAAATACTAAGTACCTCTTCTTCTTCTTCCTCTTCTTCTTCTTCTTCTTCTTCTTCTTCTTCTTCATCTTCTTCTTCTTCTTCTTCTTCTTCTTCTTCTTCTTCATCATCATCTTCTTCTTCTTGTTCTTCTTCTTGTTCTTCTTCTTGTTCTTCTTCTTGCTCTTGTTCTTGTTCTTGTTCTTGTTCTTCTTCTTCTTCTACTTCTTCTTCTTCTTCTTCTTCTTCTTCTTCTTCTTCTTCTTCTTCTTCTTCTTCTTCTTCTTCTTCCTTCTTCTTCTTCTTCTTCTTCTTCTTCTTCTTCTTCTTCTTCTTCTTCTTCTTTTCTTCTTCTTCTTCTTCTTCTTCTTTTTTTTTCTTCTTCTACTTCTTCTTCTTCTTCTTCTTCTTCTTCTTCTTCTTCTTCTTCTTCTTCTTCTTCTTTTTCTTCTTCTTCACATTTACCCGCTGTAAACTCAGGCGAACAGGCTCTGATTGTTAGTCTTGTTTCAGAACTTGAGTTTTACATGCACACTCGTTTTACAGATCTGCCTTACCTGTATGTAAATTGGTTCCTCGCCTCTAGGGCAGACGCACCCCGACTTGGAAGTATACCCCCTAATTAGTCAAGGTTTACGACATACTTACTAAGTGGGACAGTCGCTCAAACCCCCCCCCCCCCCTTTTTTTTGTTCCCCCTTCCGAGGTAATTTTTTGTTTAAAGTCCAGCCCGAAGTTATGATGTAGCAACGGAAATAATTGTATGGCTGTGGGTCGTCACAACATGAAGAACTGTGTTAAAGGGTGGCAGCATTAAGAAGGTTGAGAAACACTGTCATTGGTGCTCCGTCCGGGTTCATTAAGAAGGTTGAGAAACACTGTCATTGGTGCTCCGTCCGGGTTCAGACTAGCCAAAGAAGAGCTCCAACAGGATGTTGCCCTCGATCAAAAACCGAGTGTTCCCATTGTTCTGTAAATGTATAGGTCTTACACCCTAAATCACCTGTCACAATAAACAGATTAGAACACGGAACCAATAACCCTGGCCCACACACCCAGCTGTATGTAGGTTAAATCACAAACGGCTCCAACTGACGGGCTACGCTGCTTGCGTCCCCGGGCCAGGCTTACGATTCGTTAAAGAAGCGGTTCTCAAACAAGAAATCAACTCTTTTCGACAGTTTCGAAGGAAGACAGCATAAATTTTAACTTTGAAGTATATGCATGCTTTTTCTGAATAATATCACAGTTGTTAGCCGCTTTCCTTCATTATTGCCACAGCACCCTGTCATCCGCTCACGGCACTCCGGGGTGCTTTGGTACCCAGTTTGAGAACCGCTGCGTTAACGCATTTTTAGCCCGACCGGTGACGTCAGCAGCACGGCCCATCAGCTGGAGCCGGTCGTGGTTAAATGTGTGTATGACGGTGCAAGTCTCAACTTGATTTAATGTTCAACTGTTTTCCCCTCTGAGATATGACTGATGTGTCTGTTTTGCTACACTGTTGACTTGTGGAGAACACGTAATGAAAGCAGAAACCATTAGTACATAGGATCGCTGCCTGGTCTAATTGAGGGAAAGGGGGGGGGCTACATTTAGCCAGCTCCTTTATCAAAAGATTACACCAAGTTGAAAGGCTGGAACTAGGTTTCTGCCTCATAGCTAATGGCTTAGTGCCCTTATCTTTTGACTAAGGTGCCAGGTATATGGTGTTTCTAAAGGACCGTTTCCCCCGCCTTCAGTCGTATTGGGCATATAAGGCTATATATATCTCACTCAGTGGGTGATTTGGTCAGCATCCCGCCAGCCGTCTTTACTTTCCAGGGACTTTACCAGGGACCCATCAAGGCTGGGTCGACCTGGTAGCCACTCAAGGCTGGGTCGACCTGGTACCCACTCAAGGCTGGGTCGACCACCCACTCAAGGCTGGGTTGATCTGGTACCCACTCAAGGCTGGGTCGACCAGGTACCCACTCAAGGCTGGGTCGACCAGGTACCCACTCAAGGCTGGGTCGACCAGGTACCCACTCAAGGCTGGGCCGACCTGATACCCACTCAAGGCTGGGTCGACCTAGTACCCACTCAAGGCTGGGTCGATCTGGTACCCACTCAAGGCTGGGTCGACCTGGTACCCACTCAAGGCTGGGTCGACCTAGTACCCACTCGAGGCTGGGTCGACCTAGTACCCACTCAAGGCTGGGTCGATCTGGTACCCACTCAAGGCTGGGTCGACCTGGTACCCACTCAAGGCTGGGTAGACCTGGTACCCACTCAAGGCTGGGTCGACCTGGTACCCACTCAAGGCTGGGTCGACCAGGTACCCACTCAAGGCTGGGTCGATCTGGAAGCCAGGGTAGTTTTTGAAAAAAGTCCGGCTCAGTCAGGACCTGAACCCATTGACCTTCGGATCCACAGGCGAGCATCGAGCTGCTAAACCACAGTGGCTCCCTACAGAGCATTAGACCTCTACCTCTATGAGCACCTGGTATTAGATGGGGGCCAACATCATGACAGATTGTAAACCCACTTGTTTGTCAAACATAAAACATATTTGTGCGACGTGTTTATACGAAGGGATGTCAATAAGTATGTCACAAAAGATGTTTTAAAAAAACTAAAGACGATACCAACTTGAAAACTTAATTTGTACACATTCGCTACCCTTTTATTTTTCAACATAATGTTCACCAACATTGATGCACTTGTACCATCGTTTAATTGGTCCACCCGAATCTGCCAAACAGAACTAGGTGCTCTGTTTTCTAAACCACATTTTTACTTCATTCAACTTCTGCGTCACATGCGAAATGTCTCCTGCCAAGACGGGTTTTCAGTGGACCAAATAAGGTAAACAAACATTTGGCAGGATAAACAGAAAGCATTTCCTTATGAGTGTCCTTTAAAGGAGTCGATGTTGCAGGAAACACCAACTTGCAGGCATTATTGACCCCCCATAACCATTGTGCTGACTCAAACTTATTGACTAGCCTCGTACTCAGTTGTTGTGTTTGTATTCGACCCCACCCCACCCCCATTCCCCCCTCCCATCAAAAAATGCACAACAGCACTTAGTTCTTTTAGAGTGCTTTTAGAGTAATGAGGATGACTTGAAAGAAACTGACTAACGAAGAGAACTGATTGCCTGCATCAAAAAGAGACAATCTACATTATTTGATCATGTCAGGGGAGAAAGAACAGTGGAGTGCATCGTGACGGTAGGAAAGTTGGAGGGAAGTAGAGGCAGAGGGAGACCGAGACAGAAGATGCTGGACTGTCTGACATCATGGCAAGGAGGATTATTTATGTTACAGCTGACTGAAAGCACACGAGACTAAAGGTTGTTTACAGACATGACTAACAACGTCACACGGCATGGACATAAGAAAAAGGTGATGGTTTGAGACGAATTGTGTCCCTACTGTGGATTCATTGTACGATACACATAGCTAATGACGACACCTTTACATAAGTATTTATGTGGTCATGTCTCTTAGTATACATGTTCTTGCAGCGAGGTGCTGTCGTCATTTGGAGGTGGCTGATTCTATTCCCAGCAGGGAAACTATGGCTTTGTATGTTGTCCTCAGCACCCATCTATATTTCACTGATTTCTATGAGTGCCAATCAATACATGTATGTTTGTTTCAGTGGTAAGGCGTACAAGGCTGAATCAGACCAAAATAGCAAATATAAGATAAAATACAAGGTATTATTATTAACATTGATGACTAGACGCTAAACTACTAGTGTTTGTTGATTGCTTCTTTTGTTATCTGACGCATTGAATTACGTGCCTATCTTTTACAAAGTTCTTATTTTTATTCCATTAAGTTATGTTGGGGAGGGGCATGTGGGTTTTGCCATATACTCTGGGGGAGGGTCATGGGGGTCTTGCCATTACTCTGGGGGAGCGGGGGAGCATGGGGTCTTGCCATATACTCTCAGGGAGGGGGGGCATGGGGGGTTTTGCCATATACTCTGTAAAGAAGACCGGCGTAATGCTAACCACATTACCCACCGAGTGCCGATTGGTCTGTAAAAATATGGGCGCTCTTCCCATATGCCCGATGCGCCTAAGGGCGTGTAAAGGGATCTTTACTTTTTTTTTTTTTAACTTATTTTCACGGATACCGTTTCCATTCTGCCCCACGGGGAGGTGGGGTTGGCTTCTGTGATCACGGGATAGCAGCAGGTTATTAATTTCCACTTGTCATCACTCTCCTAGGAAAGCTAGCTGTCCCCAACACTGCTAGCTGCAGTGCCAGGCATGACCACACCTTGCAGACTACAGTGCAAGACTACACAGATAGTTACACAAAATATGTCACACACACAGATCTTGTAATAATTAACACATTGCGCTACTTACGTGTTGATTTCTTTCAGGCAACTGCTGACGAGAATCGGGTTGCAGGGATTTTAGCGTCCGCTTCGTGTTTCAGTTTCAGTTCACAAGCAACGCGATTGGGCGCAGACCGTCGACAGCGGCGGGCCTATGACCTATGACCTATGCCTATATAAACACTGCACCTCAGTATACTACAAGCACAGAATGCAGGACTATCTCAAGGCAACAATCTGCATCTCTCCTCAGTATAACAGGCGTCTGGCTATTTGAACGAAGATCAAGTTTGGAATTTTTGTTCTCTAATCAATCAGTCAGTCAGCAGTGCAGCAGCAGCAGCAGCAGTTTTGTGTTGAACAACGCAGCCATTTCTGGATGTCTGTTAAACGCTGTTTGAGCGGAATATTTGATGTATAAAGAGTGGGGGTCAGAAGCACAGAATATAAGAGGTGATTGCGTGACTTGTTCTTAAACTAAGTACAGACCTTTTAGTAGGCACGTTATAAAAGGCATCACCGGGTTTTGCAGAA